GAACCTATTTCAATAGTTTGATCACCAATCGATCAGAAATATTGCTACGCATCTGTTAAATTTAAGACAATTGTTGCAATTGTGCAACTGTTCCCTAACACAGATTTCAAAGTTGAATTCAATCCGGTCTTACCAAACGATGTTTATTCAATCACCGCATGGTGAGTGGTGGTGTTCTCCGGTACACAGCAAAAGGCTCCCCGAAAGCAGCTAGCTATCAGGGCTGGCCTCAACCGCATCCCACATGACCATCCATAGAAGGAGGAAGACGCCGCACCGCTATTGATCGGAATCAGTAGCTCTATGCCAAGCGCGACACCCTCATTCCAAACAACATACAGCTAACCAGCCTCATCTGTGTTTAACACCCTAATAGCTCAGCATTACTCAACACGTCACGACAAAACGGTCCTTTTCAGGACCACCATAAATTTCTAAAAGAGTATTTTTTTTTACATTTGTCAAGGTCATCAACCGGATGTCAGTTCCCATATCAAGATAGAGCTGGAATTAAGGCGTAACAGCTTGGGTAAACAATGACTTCTTTCGACGATGTCTTGAAAGTTAAGGCTCGCCCACGCAAATCAACATCACCATCAGGTAGGGTAAGACTTCCCCTACCCGACGGTAATGTTGGTTCGCGTGAGCGTGCCTTGAATTCCTAAAACTCATCGAGACAAGTAATTGATAACAAAAGCTGTTACACCTTATTCCAGCTCTATCTAGATATGTTTAAATCTAACATACCATGTTCTTGAAGGCAACATTGAGGGTGCAATTTCAAAAACCAAAGTCGGTCGTGGCATGAAAGTGGTCTTATTTCGATCCAGAGATGATGGATTTTAATTCTGAATACGAATCTGTTAAAATTAAGACTTTATCATTTTTCAAAATATTACTATTAAAAATTGCACGAATGTGCAACTGTTGCTATGATAATTAAAATTATCTCTGATTGCCTGCGAAAAGCAATTTTCTAACACAGATTTCAAAATTCATAGAATGATGCAAAAAAGAATACTATGCCTTGTCTCAAATCAAACGTTTGATTTCCAATAAGTAGGTGCTTTGTACAACATTAATTGAAACGACACAAGTGTCACTTATAAATAATAATAATAAGGAAAATATTTTAAAATTAGGGGGATTCAGTTATTGAATTCCAAAGTCAGAACAAAAGCTCGTATACAGGTTTTCCACCTGTTCAATGTTTTGATAGTAAGCATCTCTTAGCGGAAGTGAATATTCACTGTAATTACTTTTGAGAGGCATTGTGAACACTTTATCAATTTTCAATAGGTCACTATTGAAAATTACACAAATGTCCAACTGTTGCAATCGTGATCAGTGATCACCGATGGCCTGCAACAACTTGTTTCTCTAATACAGTCACCGAATATTGATACCGAACACGTACTCCTATATCAAATCTACGGTCGTGTCTTGGATTACTTGGATGCTACCTCTTACTTTTTCTTTGAATATAACATATGGACATGAAAAATTTGTATGGTGAAAAGTCTTGATTTCTTGATTTTAATAATATTAAGGAATGAATAATGTTCTCAAAATAGATGTGCAACCAAATGATACTCGATTATGATGACTGGGTTTGGGAAAAAACGTTTATTACATGAAAATAGCGATAAAATAATAATTTGTACATTTTTCAAAGGTTTTTTATGGAAAATTTAAAATGTAATTTTTCAAAAGAATCTTAATGTAATATCCTATCGATTGGCGTATTTGGATTTTAATTTCATCTATAAATGACAAAGTTAGAAGCGTTCAAAACCTAACACTATTCCGCCACACATATTTTTTTGATTTGTACCCCAGCATAATCGACAAAGACTTAGTTCTACGTCAAAACTGATTTTAGGGGTCACCCTTAATATCATTCTTAAAACCAGTGTAAATCTAGAACCAAGCAATTGCGAGTACTTATAAAACAGCTGAGTTGATCAAACGTTGAATAATAGCTTCCAGAGTTAAACAAGAATGTAGTTGTACTGTCATTTGGTTGAAAGCTTTCAAAGCTGCATGGAGTATTTTTGAATGATTGTTTGCGTTCGGTTTAACTATATGCTTCATAAGACCCACAATACCTTTTATAGCACCTCAGTTAAACCAGTTGACAAGAGGTTAATAGAACGTGGAATAACAGCATTATACACCAAAAATACATCTTTTATGCAACACTATGTATTGAGTTTAACACGATCATGAAAAACAGTTTCAACTGCACTAAAAGTTGCTGACAAGCAGGTTGTACTGAAACTTAAACGCTGTCCAGACTGGAAAGTTATAACATGTTATAACGGTTGTCAAAAAATTGCAACACAGAAACCACCATCAAGATAGCACTATAACATGTTAGAACTCTGTAGTCTGAACGTACTATTATACAAGTTATCTAAGCAACTCTTATTAGACCAGTGCTTCCAGATATGTTTGTTAAGCATTTATTAAATTATTGTAAAGTCGTTTTACAACGCCTAATCAATTTTGATGAGGTGGTTGTTTAATGACTTATAAAACTTTGATTCAGCACTTGCGTGACTTGGGTTATAATATCAACCACGATTCTGTTGCTCAAAATAACACTATTGATAGGGCGTTTAAATGGCCGTAATGCAATGATTATTCGACTGCAAGAGAAGTAACCAAGATGAGCTTCATATACTTCGCAATCCAGGATCTGGAATATTCCATATGGGTCAGCTCCGGGTAAACATAAAAATGATTAAATACTCACAGAACTGTTTCATACGAATCACTCGAAAGTGTTTGAATTATTATATTTATAAGAAAGTTGATTGTAGCCTCCAGGATTGGTGTATGATAAACAAAGCAACAAAATTTTTCTCATATAGGTATCAAATTGACTATTTTAAGCATTTACGTTCCATTTCTTCAAAGACTTATGATATTTGATGAATGTCCAATATAATGAAAATGTGGCTACACTTGATGCGTTCTAGAAAGTCATGCCAAAATCCAGAAACTCATCATTCAGACTCTGACAAACAATTCGTTTTAAAAATATAGAATTTATCACAAAAGCTTGATCTAAATACAGTTTGAAATCCTGGAAAAAATCATGTGTATGATCAAAACTTTCTGATCAAATAGGTTATGAAATATGAATGACACAAATTTTCAATCTCTCGGTCGGCAAGATTTTCCGCACGCTTTTTAGTGGAAAGAAACTAACTTTTGCGCACGCTTATTTTATTTAAGAAAAATAGGCCGTTATGTTATTTACAACGTGATGAAAATGTTTTGCCCTAGTTACTCCTCTGCAAAGCTCAAAACTAAATGGAGTTTACAATATTAGTCAGATGATAATATTACATCGCTTTGAGAAATTTTGAGTTTCCCAGGATTTTTTATTTATTTATTTACTGTTAAGTAGTCGTTAGGGGCCTCGTAGCCTAGTCAGTAAAGGCACGGTATTACCAAGCCGGAGGCGGCGGGTTCGATTCCCGGTCCGGTCGAGGGATCTTTCGGGTTGGAAATTTTCTCGACTTCCCTGGGCATAGAGTATCATTGTGCTTGCCACACAATATACAAATTCATGCATTGGTATTGGCATCGAAAGCTCTCAATTAATAACTGTGGAAGTGCATTTCGAACACTAAGTTGAGAGCACACAATAAGCTAATATGCGCTAAGCAATAAGCTTGAAAATGCGAATAAGAAGAAGAAGTAAGTAGTCGTTGATGACCCTTGATCACCCACATCAATAGCACTGTCAAATTGATGCTAAAAAGATTTTAGCGACTGATAATTTAACTGGTTAAAAGATTGAAATTAATATGGAATCAGAACTTCGAAACTTTGTAAATCTCTATGAAATGCGAAAAAATAATAATATTTTGAATCATCTCACATGTATGCTTAAACTTTCATTAAATGTAGGGGATCGTGGATAAACTTTCTTGAATTTAAAAACCATTACGCTGTTATTAATTCTAACGAATGGTCCAATGACATTCACAACACCGAAATATTTTCAGAAGCATACCTCCTTTTCTTATAAATAATCTCAAAAACTCACTCTGTATTTGGATTGGAATAAATACTGTTGTCGAAATTGGTAGAAAATTCCTACAATCTTTAAAAGAAATGTTAAAAATCCAAGTAAAATAGTACACATAAATACTCACAATAATCCATTTGTAGGCTTTTGAAAGCACCTTTAATTTAGTAAACGCTGCTGCAATTCAGAATTAGAAATTATTATTACCAAAAGGCACTGCTTCAATCCCATGTAATGCTTGTTTAGTTTAGTTGTTTTTGGCTTTTCCGCTTATATAAAATCAAAATACTTCAAACTATTTCATTGCTGAACAAAAATAGAATTCAAGTGTTTTGATTTTTTCGAACCCTAAAAAGCCATTTCCAGCGCACATCAATTCTCAGTTGATCTGTAACAATTCAGTATTTTCCAGTAAAGTCCATTCCAGATTGAATAATAATAGATCTTTTGCAATTAACAAATACAAAGAAGGCTTACACAGATTTGAATCTCGGTAGGCAAAAGACAACTCAACAGCTTGGAAAATTCCACAGCTCCGCCTCAGAGATCTACCGCTTAGCTCTACCCGCTCACAGTACGCTTTCTGGGCACTCGTTGTCTTTGTCCTCGTGGTTCTCTCTGTGCGAGCGGAAAATACCCACCTGTTTATGTTGCACACAGGTAGACCAGAGAGCATATACAAATAGCACGCTTGCTCGTCGGTTGCACCCGTTTCAGAGAAACGTGTTGGCCAAAAACTTACCATCGATCACGCACCCGTAACATGCATCTGGCGGCTAATCAACAAATGGGTACGAAGTGAGACCGACGGATGGAGGGATCTTATTGCTGCGAGAATTCGCATTGTACTAAAATGTGTTGATCGATCTGATCACTCAGTATCTCACGCAAAAATGGGTCAAGATCGATCGATCGCAAGATGATCAACTGTGGGTAGTATCGTTTTAGGTAATCAGTGCAAGTGAGACAAATGAAGTCAAAGTTTTTGTTTTTCGATGAGTGGTTTGTGAACGTTACAACGTAAACTGAAATGAGTGTTAATTAATCATTAGTAAAGATTGCTTAAATTGGTTGGAATTATTTTAATGATTTTTCTTCGAAATTACCCTACATTAAATTCCCAAGAGAAACTTTTTAACTTAGCTAAAATTATCGCAAATTTTGAGTGCTTTTGGGCAATTAGTACAAGTGAGATAGCCATATTACTCGATTAATAGTTTGGTAGTCGAGAAAGCCAATGCTTTGTTGTTAGCTCGGAGATTGTTCTAAAAGATTAAATCAGATATCAAGTACGCATGTAAGTGTAACGTTCTATAGTCGACTGGAGAGGCAATCGTTTGTCAGTGCGATATTGTTGGAGCACACAATGCTAATCCAAAGAAACAAGTTATAGGAACCTATAGTTCGGTGACCCGCTCAACTATAAATAGGACCGGGAGATTTTGCATCACTTCAAATTTGCTCCTGTTTCCAGAAACAACAGCCGATTTTAATTAACAAGTGATATACGTGTGATAGCAGCAAGCTCTCTGTGTGGAAGATTGTGTAATTTGTGCCTGAAGCAACCATGCCTGCCATAACGAATTTGAAGGCGCCAATTCGCCATGTTCTGGACCTGTCCAAGGATGAAAAGCGAAAGTTTCTCAACTCGTTCGACACCATCATGTCGGACTGCGATGGCGTTTGTTGGGATTTTATCGGCCCGATTCCCGGCGTCGATGACGCTCTGCAGCTGCTGAAGAAGAATAAAAAGCTGGCCTTCATCTCCAACAACGGAATGCGCACCATGGAGGAGTACAAGCAGAAATTCCTTAAGCTTGGAATTCCGTCGCATGAGTTGGCCATTATACATCCGGCACTGACTACGGTTCGCTACCTGAAGGCGATCAACATGACGGATGCGGTTTACTGCGTTGCTACCCAGGTGTTCAAGGACTATCTCCGTAGCGAGCAGTTCACGGTCCTCGATGGGGTGAGAAACTAGTCCACGTTTTTTTCCGAATTCTGTGTGAACTAATCTTTTGTTTTTATCTCATCCACAGCCTGACCATCGTTTCCCAGACGAAAGAGAAGCCGATTCGGTTCGTGTGTTTTCCAGCTTCTTCATGGAATCTACCGGCCCTCGCGTAGGTGCGGTCGTTATGGACATTGATATGAATATTTCGGTGGCACACTTGATGCAGGCCAAGTGCTACTTGGACCGCAACCCGGATTGCATCCTGATCGTGGGCGCCACCGACTACATCATTCCTCTGGGTCACCATATGGACGTCATCGGACCGGGATACTTCATCGAAGTGCTGGAACGTGCCACCGGTCGGGAAGCATTGGTTCTCGGCAAACCCGGACAGGATCTGGCTGACTTTGTTCTGGAGCAGTTCAAAGTGACTCGACCGAAGCGTGTCCTGTTCGTGGGAGACATGCTGCCACAGGATATGGGCTTTGGATCACGCTGCGGTTTCCAGAAACTGCTGATGCTGAGCGGAGGCACCTCCATGGATATGCTACGATCGCACCAGAAGCCAGAGGAGCTGCCCGATTTTTACATGGACAGCTTCGCCGACTTTATCCAGCTGTACAAGGATGTCGAACAGCGCTAGTAGGGCGGGTTTCTTTAGATTATTTTTAACACATCCATCTCCTGTTGCGGCTGGATTGCAACTTCCTGTGGTGCGTGAATGTTTTGATTTTTATGTCAGCGTTGCTGTGTGACGGCTTGCATTTGACTCTGTGCCTGTGAAGATGAAAGTTACTCAATAAAAAAATTATTTTGACTTTTAATGGAACTGTTTGCGTTGGAGAACTTAAGTTGTTCGAATGAAAGAAAAAAAGAATTTTATTGTGTTGTATTTTTACAACAGATAAAGATGCTGGTATAACGCAGATGTTACGGCCAGGCCTGTCATGAGGATTACTCAGCTCCAAAACCGTTTTTTTTTAACCCAGCTATGCAGAAATGTCATGCCTTCTCTTATGAAAGCTGAGCTCCAAAATGTATAAGAGGATTTTTGGACACTTTTGTACGCTTATACACAGAGAACCAATAGACTTGGGACTAGCATTCATGCTCAATGTGTAAATACTGGTGATCTAAAATTAGGCAACGCCGGCCACGTCCGAATGCTGGTCAAGAATGGAATGGGTAGGAATATGTTGACGTAATACTCGCTTTAATGAAAGCCGAGAACACCTCTGCACTTCCACGAGAAATTACTGGGATGTTGGATAAAAGGGTTGGGATTACAGCAGGATTCGTTTTGATAAACGATATGCTGAATTGATGTCCCAACGATTCCATAGCGCCAAGGAGCTTGGGTTTGAACCCACAGTCTTCTGCTCAGCAAGCAAAATCGGTCGCTAGCCTAGTGGCTGAGGTCTTTATATCACAAAACAATTACGATCAAGTTTCCGTTCAATTTGTTGTTACTATGTTTCGATCCCGGCGACGACCTCACCGACGACGACAACCTCACCGACGACGACAACAACTGCTCTTGAGAAGAATATGGATCTCCAATCAACACGTCTTTCCTAAAACTCAAATATTACTTCTTTTGCGTACCCATTTTTTTTAACCAAATTTCATTACGCTCAGTATGTAAAGGCCTTGAGTTCTAACCCACGATCTTCTGTACAGTAAGCAAAAACGGTCGCTCCTTACATCAGAACAAGCTGTGACCGACGATCGTTCATTATCGGTTACAAAAAGCTATTAAAATGAAATGAAATCCCTGAAAGTAGTTCACAATGTCTTCCAGATCAGGCGTACGTCACATTTATTTAAATATACGTATTACTTTTCCAATTCTTTCCACCGATTTTTATTCTCAATGATTTTCTACATAAAGACCTGGATAGATCAACTCAGTAATGTAACCAGGTTTGGGTTTTAACCCATGATCTTCTACTCAATAAGCAACAACGGTATCTATAGCTACTTTGCCCCTTACATTACCACAAGCTACGACCGACTTAAAAATTCTATTCAAATGAAGCGACGTCTCCGAAAGCAGCCAACAATGACTTCCGAACTGGATCACGCATACACCCTTTTCGAAATTCCTGGTTTAAGCAAATTCAACTTTTGGTTATTAACTCCGCTTTATGCTCTCGTAACCCAATGATGGCGTTTTATTATGTTGTGGGAAAGCTTGGGATTACACCCATGATATTCTGCTCATCAAGACAAAACGATCCCTCCAGCGTCATCGAGCTTCTAAAAACCACAACACTCCAGCATAAAATATGATTAAGGTTTCGCTTGGTATTTTATGAACAACAGAGATACTCGATAGTTCATATAGTTACAGCGGTTGATGATTAATTACAAATATTCTAATGGTACTGCCAGCGGCGACTACGACGGCAAATACGACGACGACAACAGTGAATTTGTAGCTTACCATTTGTATAGGATATAATACCTTTGCCCGGCACCTCCACCGGATCTTCATGTCTGCTATCTGTCACTGTTTGCAAACATATCTAATAGCAATTATCTTTGTCGTCATACTGCATTTAATAAAAACAAATTTTCTTGCATTGTCATGGTTATCTGGGAGGAGGTTCGCGTCTAGTGTTTTCCCCAGGAATCGTTCGTGGCCACCAGTTTTCGCCCATCCATTCTTGGGCGTATCCAGCGAGGCATCCTATAGTTTGCTCGTATTCTCCGAGACCAGCAGCCGAGCACTTTTGCAAAACTTGTTGGTTCAAAGCAACGTCGGCCACCGAATCACCACCAAAACTCACGACGGACACATAATCAGCACTTTCCCGGGCTAATTTGCCAACCGGACCGGGTTCAATCTCGCCCACGGTGACGAAACTCTCGATAGAACTATACGCCGACAGTGTGGCTTCCAAACTCGGAGAACCGAGCTCTCGGGAGGTAATCCACTATAGCACAATTTCATAAACACTTAAAACTCAATTACAACACAAGACATATTATGATGTTTAATGCAAATCCGTGGAAGAAAACCACGCAGCAAAAATTAACAAGTCAGATTTAAAGCGCGGCTTACTGCGATTTCATCTGTTACTGAACACTTATATGAACAAAAATATGCTGTAAGCATACATAGGGGAAAGTGACCACCCCCTTTAAAATCAAATTATTGAACATATATTACAACAAATCTGTTGCAGGCTTGATGCTTGAAGCCTCAATTTAATTTTATCATAAAAAATACGTTTCTCTAGTTAAAATATTCGAAAAATGTTAAACTAGCTCAAAATGTCAAAACTATATTTTGAGCTATGTTCTACTTTGCAATAAACATTATTTTTTTTAACAAACTTTACTTAATTACTGGTCCGACGTCCCTCAGGATTTGACCTGCATAACAATGTTGCGCCAACAAACTTGATCCCTGGTTGCTTGATTCCAATTCCTCGAGTGTCCCACACTTCTTAGATCTTGCTACATATGGTCCAAACACCTAGCACGCTGCGCTCCTCTGCGTCTTGTTCCAGGCGGATTTGAGGTACACACAATTTTTTCGGGGATATTATCCGGCATGCTTACAACGTGTCCCACCCATTGTACCCTTTCAGCTTTAGCGACTTTCTGGATACTGGATTAACCATAGAGTTGCGCCAGTTCGTGGTTCATTCTCCTCCTCCAAATACCGTTCACGTTTCAACCTGGTGTACTGGTCCGCCACCACCTGAAAGTTCTTCCACGTCGTCAGTGAAGCAGATGAACTGGCTGGACTTATTGAAGATCGTGCCCCGCATGTTAAAGCCCGCACGTTTCATAACACCTTCTAGAGACCGTTAGAGTAAATCCATGGCTGAGAAATCCGTTTTAACAAACAATTCCTTCCAGTCCCAGTCACCACCATCACTAATTTAATCATGAAAGTGCAGAACTTTAGGACAGTTTAAAGATCATTAAGGGTATGTTCTGATAACTTCACGGCAGTTTCATGAACTTCACGGAAATTTCGTGATCTTAGATGAAGCAAGATGAAAAGCAAAAATCTTCAGGACAAGTCCTTGAAGTCAATCGACTTTTCCTGAAGATTTTTGCTTTCATCTTGCTCAATTTCAGGTACCGTTAAACGGGGGGAAGTTTCACCAACAAACAATTGAGAGCACTTATAAAACACCTAAGTTGATCAAACGTTGAATAATAGCTTTCAAAGTTGAACAAGAATGTAGTTGTATCACCGACAAACCGACATGAATGACCATAGCAAAAGCAATAAAATTTCTGACCAAAGCACACTACTGACATCTGGCTCCGTGTTCGCGGGAAATATTTAGCTAAGCCATGAACCCGCATGCAAAAGTTTTGAATCGGTCCGTGTCTGATCTATTCTGGACATATTATTTTTATCTAGATCAAAAAATCCTATGGTTTTCACAGTTCGGATCACTGCACATTTAAATCAGTCGTTTACAATTTTAGGGCATAAGTCAGAATTAAGTGTCATGTCGGTTTGTCGGTGGCTTTAAAAAGTGCATGGAGCATTTTTGAATGATTGTTTGCGTTCGGTTTAACTATATGCTTCATAAGACTTACGATTCCTTTTACAGCACCTCAGTTAAACCGGTTGACAAGAGTTGGACGTCTTTTATGCAGTACTTTTTATTGAGTTTAACACGATCACTGCACACATTATCAACTGCACTAAAAGTTGCCTCCCTTAGCTCAGTCGGTAAAGGCGCAGCTACAAAGCAAGACCATGCTGGAAGTGACTGGGTTCGATTTCCGGTCCGGTCTAGAAATTTTTCGGGTTGGAAAATTTCTCGACTTCCCTACCCAAGCAACACACATCCATCAAAATAGGTTGCTGCAACTTGATTGTGACTGAAATAAGGTGCATACAAGTAACCACAACAGTTAAATGACAAGTGTGCTGCTAGGGTAGGCATAGAGTATGATTGTACTTGCCACACAATTTTACTAATGCAAAATGGTACCAGACATCGAAAGCTCTTAATTTAATAACTGTGGAAGTGCATATAGAACACTAAGTTCAGAGCACGCAATTAGCTAATTTGCGATAAGCAATAAGCTTGAAATGCGAGGAGGAAGAAGAAGAAAAAGAAAAGTTGCTGACAAGCAGGTTGTACTGAAACTTATACTAGTTATCTAAGCAACTCTTATTAGAGCAGTGCTTCCAGTATGTTTGTTAAGGTTGTTGTTTAATGACATATAAAACTTGCGTGACTTGGGTTATAAATACCAACCACATATGTTGTTGATAAAAATAGCACAAGTTATAGGACGTTTAAATGATCGTAATGCAATGATTATTCGACTGCAAGAGAAGTCACCAAGATGAGCTTCATATACTTCTCTCATTTGATCAAAAAAAAGAACAGATGGAAACAGAAGCGGCCGGCAATCCAGGATCATGAGTTCGAATCTTGCTTCGAGAAACACTCGGTTGAGTAGAGGTTAGTTATGTATAGGTGTTATTAATAAATGCAAACATTAATTTAAGACATATATAAATAGAGATCATTTTATTAGCCCAGATTACTTGAAGGATTGCAGAAGGTGGAAAATTGAACATAGTTTGCAACTCTCTTTAGTTCTATTCAGCGACAGGCTGGATGAAATCTAGAGAATATTTAAGAGGATTTGTTATTTTCATTAAATCCAGCAGAAACGAATTTTAAGAAATCAAATAAATTTACGGCGAGTTACTGCCAGATTGTTTGTAATGAAGGAAATGCCTAATTTATAATTCTTTTCCAAATAGAAAAAAGTCATGTGAATTTCAGTGCAATGTTGTATAAAAGCTTTTAAAAAATTTCGTTCATTATGACAATTATAGCTCAAAATTAAACGAGTGGAGATTTTACGGTTAAAATTCAGATCATTTCTCTGTGCAGATTCAGATGAAACCATGGTGTGTAGAGCATGGTGATACAGCTTTGTCTTTATATCAAGGGAAACATGTCAGAAGCGTATAACTCAAAACGTAAACAATGACTTTGAACATCGATTTCTCTTGAATGACCACACACCCACGAAATCTGACTACACCAGCTTATAGAACAAACATTGCTCTGTCAGATGATTTAGTTAGTTTGAGTGGGTGTGTTGTCATTCCTAAGAAACCGACGATCCAAGTCATTGTTTACGTTTCGAGTTAGACCCTTGTGACATGTTTCCCCTGATATGGGCGAGGAGATCACGGTGGATAAGTGCGGCTTTAGAGCAAATTGTAAACAAACTTAATCACTGTCCCATACAAAAATCCAGCATGACTGAATCGTGGACTCATAAATTAATTACTTTTGACAACCACATAATTTTGGAAAAAAAAAGAATCAAAAATCGTGGTCTACAAAGTTGTTTATTCTGTTATTAGAACAGCTCTCAGGAACATAGGGGAAATGGATGTAATGTCAGCCTAAATGCCCCTAATTTGGGCCCATACATAAATTCAACAATCGACTAAATTTTCAAGAGCGACCAATACCGTCCCAATGACGCGTTCATCTAGATAAAATTGATAAATAGTAGATTTTTAACGATGGGCCAAATCTTAGATCCATAGGTCAACATTAGAGCCATTTCCCCTGCCAAATTTTTTTTAGCCTCTACAAAAAAGTTATGGCCAACAAACTGATTTAAAAAAAAACAACAATTTTTCTAATTTAAAAATGCATTTAGAAAGTCCAGTTAGTTAAGGATTTTTCTAAAACTAAGTAATATCAAAAGATAGACCTTTGAATTCCAAGAAATGTGTCCGAAGACATCGCATACTTAAAAATTCATCATCACGTTTTTTGGTGCTTAGACCACATCCATGATCCAGTTGTCGGCTTCTATGGTACTATGACAATTTTAAACTCTATTCAAATTTTAAAACTAGTTGTTTCAACTTTAATAAGAAGCTTGTTTCAATTATTTTATGTTAGTAAATTTCAATCATATGAAGGCTGAAAGCGAATTTAATTTTAATTGGACCATTTTCTGGTAAATAGGATTTGAAATTCATCCGGTGGATCTCCGTTAATGGGGTGCCTAAAATGATGTTAAAATGTTTGAATGGGATTATTATGAATCTGAATAACTGGTACCCTTACACATTTGATAAAACGTAGCGGCTGTGAGCTTCAAACTGTAATAAAGCTATAAAAATATGATCAATTCCAATATATCAAGAAAACAAAACAACATCGAAGATCTTTTCATGATTGGTTTATTTATACAACATAAACGTGTTCCACTGATTAAAAATGCGGACTTCTAAATAAAAATGTTCTAATTTATAGCTCATGAACGAACATTTTCAAATTTAATTTTAAATTTATTAAATTTTCGATTTTCTGCGAACACTATCGTGTTGCAAAGTTGACCTTGTGTTTGCACCCACCAGTGCATAAAATTACGAAAACACAGCATAAGCAACAGAAAATTTTCCACAGCGATCTATGCTACGGGTGTGGGTAGTTTATTTTCTGCATACATTCCCATCGCATATTCATTCTAGGTACACGTGGTGGGCTACCTGCCGCAGTAAGCGAAAGACTAAACAGTAAACAAAACAAAAAAGCGAAAGACTTCATCCAAAGGACATCTCACCAAGATGATCCTCGAATGTATTGGTAGTGATCGTGCCGGTTGCTACAATTGCAAGTAGCAAGAAGTTGAAAATACCTCGATGGAAATTTCCGACGGATCAGAACCGGGGCTAGGTCACAGCTCTATTAAAGAGCGCTCTCAGCCGGTTGGTTCATCAGTTCCAAACTTGCATTCGATAAGACAGGTTAACTGCATTACCCTATTACCCTCTATTACTCTAAAGCGAAAAGCGATTCAGTGTGCATTCGTCGTATTATTCAACAAGACACATTCATCATGAAGCACCGTCAGGGACAAATCCGTCACATTTTGGATCTCTCCAAGGAAGAGAAGCGTGAGTTCTCCAAATCGTTCGACACCATCATGTCCGACTGCGATGGAGTGGTTTGGCACTTCACCGGTCCGATCCCCAACGTGGATAAGGCATTGCAACTGCTCAAGAAGAAAGGCAAGAAGCTGGCGTTCATTTCCAACAACGGCATGCGCACCATGGAGGAGTACAAGCAAAAGTTCTTGAAGCTTGGAATTCCTTCGCATGAGTTGGATATCGTTCACCCGGCGTTGACAACGGTTCGATACCTGAAGGCGATCAACATGCAGGATGCGGTTTACTGCATTGCCACTGAGGTGTTCAAGGATTATTTACGCAACGAAGGATTTACGGTTTTGGATGGGGTAAGTCTATTTAAACTTCAAACAACGTGATTCGCAATCTTACGATGTATTTGTTTTGGAATTATAGCCCACCGATCAATTCGCCGATGACAGAGCGGCCGACTCGGTTCGAGTGTTTACAGAGTACTTTGAGGAAACCGAAAGCCCCAAGGTCGGTGCCGTTGTTATGGATTTGGACGTTAACATCTCGTTGGCTCACCTGATGCGAGCAAAGTGCTATCTGCAGCGAAATCCTGAATGCCTGCTACTTGCCGGTGCAACGGATTACATTGTTCCTTTGGGCGGCGATGGTCGCGATGTGATTGGGCCGGGCTACTTCCTGGAAGTATTGGAACGTGCTACCGGTCGGGAAGCTCTGGTGCTCGGGAAACCGGGTCAAGCCTTGTCTCAGTTCATCCTGGAGCAATTCAACGTGACGCAACCGGAGAGAACGCTGTTCATTGGGGATATGTAAGTTATGAAATTGTGCACGAGTAGATAGTTGTGTCTAATTTGAAATTTCAAAATCGATTCGCAGGCTTATGCAGGACATGGGATTCGGATCTCGGTGTGGTTTTCAAAAGTTGCTGCTGCTAAGTGGCGGTACCTCGATGGATATGTTGATGGCTCACACTAAACCGGAAGAGATGCCCGATTTCTACGCAGACAGTTTTGCCGACTTCATTCAACTGTACCGGGATATTGCTGTCTAAAAAAGGACGAACATCATGTCTGATTGATCAGGGTTATTTAGGTTTAAGCACTTCAATGTGAATGAATGTGATACTCGGAGGAGAGCTTTTCCTAATTTACGGACTACTGTACGGTTTTATGTGTATAGCAATCAGATTTAAGAATATTTTATAATTAAGCCGAATTTATGCGTAATTCTTAAATGTCGTTTACTTAATGTATCCTTAAGTGGCATGAATTATTTACGACAGATTTTCTTCAATAAATTTTGATTTTATTTCAAACAAAAGCTGTGTTGATGTACCTCTTATTTATTTTTCTTTTCTGAAAACAACGCGACCATGTGAAAGTAACTTGGGTCTGTCTTCCTTCTCCTTCTCGCGGAGGGGCTAATCTTCGAGTGCCACTTCCTTGAAGTGGATGACCGGCAACCAGCTCGGTGAATATTATCTTGGGATTAAGTTTCACGACCTTTTTCCGTCCTTGACTTGAAAATGGAAACACACAATCTCAAAAGTCATAACTGCAGGGCTATCAAACTCATCGGTTACTGAGACTTATAGCTTGATTGCCACACTTCGGCACGTTCGGCACAACGCTTGACCTAGTTTTCACCACAGATAAAGTACTCGGCACAGGTTGGGATGTGCAGCGTTGAACACCCCTTGCCCTAAGCATGTTCTGGTTTCTTCGATGAAGTTTTACTCCTTAAGGCTGTGCTTAATTTGCTGAATTTTCACTTAAATTTGACACTTCGAAAATAAATTAATATGTTCAAAAATCCCTCTGCTGTTGATTGGCCGATTTTAGTGAAAGTGTCTGTCAGAAATAAGTTTGCTAGAATAGCAGGTTGATTTGAAAATTTACCATCGGTCAAATTTAAGTGAAAATTCACCGAATGGAACACAGTCTAAATGCCTTTTAGTCTGTGTTCCATTTGGTGAATTTTTAACTTAAATTAGACACTTCGAAAATAAATTATAATGTTCGAAAATCCCTCTGTTGTTGATTGTTCGATTTTCGAAAAGGTGTTTGTCAAAATTGATACCTGGTCTGTCAGAAATAAGTCTGGTACAACAGCAGGATTATTTGAAAATTTTCCATCTGTCAAATTTAGGTGCAAAATCACCAAATGGAACACAGCCTTAGGCAGTGACATTTCGAAAGTTATTTTCTATGTTTGAAAATTCCTATGCTGTTGATCGACCGGTTTTCGAGAAGAAATTAGCCAAGGTTGTCAAAATTTTACTTCTTGTCTGTCAGAAGTAACCACGCACGGATAGCAGGGTTAATCGATAACTTTCCATCTGTCAAATTTTAACCAAAAGTTAAAGTAATCCACCAAATGGTTCAGAGCCTTAGGGTGGTTCTCAAATTAATTTACCGTAAACCGAGGGCAAATTGATCATTGTTTAACTTAAATATAAAAATAAATATCTACATTAAATGACATTGACCAAATAATGGTACTAAAATCAGTAGCTAAGAGGACTCTGTCGTTCTACATGGCTGCTCAAATAGCTTCCCAGTTCATTTCTATAGTTAAGGTACTTTATGGATTTGGGATCGAAAAACTTAATTTTTCGAGTACACCCTAATTCAATACTAAAAAAATACTATAAAATGAGAACGTTAAGAGATAGCAAAAAATTTTCTTTTCCACAAAGCTGCTTGAAATTAACTCAGCTCCAAATTTTGATCGAAATAAGTGTAGATCCTAATCACATTTCGGTAGTTCCGAAACTGCGAGTAAGATCTCCTATCCGCCGTGAAGGGGGTAACAAAAGGCTCAGGTTGGCTAATCATTTCCTCTAACACTGGTGCCATGGTTACCGCTCAATGTATGTATGCACTTGGGTTCCTGAATGGAATTGAGAAGGGTAACGTGATTTTTCATCGCCAGAAGTGACCATAACTTTCCACTTTTTTTCAATTTGAAATTTATGATGGAGACGCATTATACTCTAATCTCTAATGACAGTAAAGGATTGTTCAAATTCCAGGATTGAAGTTGTGTACCGTATAGGTCTACTTCTTCCCCACCAAGTACAGGCCCACCCATCAACCACACCGCAGGATTTCTTTGAAAAGAAAATTAAAAAAGTAAATATCTTGCTTAAAACATACATTTACGTCCCGTTCTCCAAAGGTTTCCTATACTTAATCTGCACCCAAACGCGATACATTTTCAGCATTCTTCCCCGATTGACTTGCAACCTCCGGTCGACAATGTTCTGCTCCTCGACCAGACCGGCATTCTGAAAGAGCGTCCGTAGATCGTCTTGCGTGAAAAAGTAAACCAGCGTGCCATCACCTCGAACGTAGAAATTCTCCTTCAAGCATTTTCCAGGCTTGAACCGGAGCTGAGCCAGATCGAATCGACCGTAATCTCTGAGCAGCAGCAACCCTCCCGGTTTCAGATAGCGACTGATTTGATTTGCCACGTGTTGCATTCTAAAAATGAAAATCAATATACGCGTTAAACCAGCCCTCAATTTTTGAAGCAATATCCATACGTACCGCTCGGGATCAATCGCCGACAGCACAAATATCAACACAATAATATCGATACTGTTCTCCTCGAATGGAACGTCCCAATTTTCCGCCGTACCATCCAGCACGAATGCCTCGCATCGTTTCTCGTCAAACTCTTTGCTGTCTTTCAGAATTTGGATAGCCTGTTTCGAAAAGTCGCTGGCGTAGATTTTCAAATTCTCCTCCACGCTGTATTTCAAAATCGGAAACACTGTATTTCCGACGCCACATCCAATTTCAAAGATGGTACGCTTCATACTGGGATTCACCTGCAGATCGGCCACTTTTGAAGTGATACCTTCAACCCCTTCCGGAAACACTCTTTCCGGAGCATCCTTAGTGTTGCGTGGAGCCAGTTCCGGGAATTCGGTAAACAACCAATGACGATCCTTGAAGAACCGATTCTGATGAATCCCGTAAAACTTGTCCCAGTTCTTGTCCGCCTCCAGTTCCAACTTATGAGCGTCTTCAACGGTCAACTTGACCGTCGAGTTCTTCTTAACCCCCTCGAGAGCGGCCTGCTCTTGCTCATCATCCCATTCGACATTGTCCCTAAAATGGTGAAATCAAAAGATAGAATCCATTAGTGATCTTCGTAGCCGGATCACAACCAACCAAGTGTTGAAATCAAAGACCCTTGAGGGATCTTTGAGAAATCTTTCGCCGATGCGAGGTTTCTTCCGGTAACGAGTGAATTCGTAATCACAGTAAAACCTCGTCGCGAAGAATGGGAGCCTCTGGTGGCAGCGGGACAGAATCCTACCAAGCATTGTGCCGGAATACATCATCATCATCGGATAGAAAGCGATTGCCGAACTGTGGTCGCTTGATGTTGATCGGGTCCTCCTCTACAGCGGGCAACGCAGATTCTTCAGCACGGGATGCTTCCATCCGTACTGATTGGAATGCACACTTTTAATTCACTTATTTTACGGCGAATACCTACTTTAATAAATTAAACTTTAAAACCAAATTTCACGACACGTTTGCGAGAAACGATGGAGAACACTGGCGTAGTATTTGAAAAGAGCGTACGATTTTTTTTTTACACAAAACTTTTGCGCGAACTGAAGTACGCCCACGCATACCTACAACACCATCGGGTAGTGGAAGTTACGATAGTGCTATTGGTTTGCGGGCACGTACTTGACGTACATCGGTTCGCGTGAAAAGGGATATACAAGTTTTGATTTCAAAAGATGATAGACCTTTTCAAATGTTGCGCGTGTTCGTCTCAGAAAGTAAACATATGATTTTGACAGTGGTTTGTTGTCGTTTGAAAACCGTTACCGTTATAAGCGTTACATGAAGTTTCGGTTTCATCAGTGCTGCCAGTTCTGTCCATTTTACGAAATAACTGAAATCAAGAGCAAATTTTCATCATGTGGAAAGTAGCATTCGCACCGATCCGAGAAAAATAAAGTTTTGTTGTGATGACCGAAAAATTATTCCTAGTTCCAATTAAACGCATATAATATCATAGTGATAGCAATGTTTAGGGTTCTACATAGGGTAATTAAATTTGTATTCGTCTTCTTTTTGAAATATTCTTCAATCATCATCACGGATAGAAATCTCCTTATACCTTTTGGCAAATTTCTATTGCAGATTATTCATAAAATGTATAAGTCAACTAATAAGCAGACGCCTTGCAAAAAGTTAATGAAGATCATGTGTCAAATGAAATGTATAAGCGGTCACACATACCTTTTATGCATTCTTATAGGACCTATATGGTTTGTCTTATGGAATGTATAAGGCTGATGTTTGGCAAAAATGTATAAGTGAAACACATGAATAAAATAATTGATTTTCGTTTCGTGATCATTGCTTTACACATACATTCTCATATTATTAATGCAAAAATTTAACACTTGTATTTCATGATTTTAGAACCAAAACTTCCTGGGTAAAACATATTCACTGTATTTACTTACTTGTGTTCTTCGAAGTTTAGCACAATAACACAAAATCCAAAACAACTGCTACTCAAAACTCTTGGTGAACAAAATTGAACACCAAGAAAACCACTTCAACTTTACTGCTTTGCCGGCAATTGTAAAAGTTAGAGTCTGTGTATAAGCCAGCGCTGGTGGTGTAGTGGTAAGCGTGACTGCTTTCTAACACCCCGATGGGTCTGGGTTCAATCCCAGCCGAGGTCGGTGGGATTTTTCTGAGGCATAAAAATCTCTGGTCACGTCTTCCTTCAGAAGGGAAGTAAAGCCGTTGGTCCCGGCCCATGTGTGTTGAATGGGTGCGATATCCTATACGCAGGTATGGAAGCTCTCTTCCTGCACATTCGATTGCCGTCAATGGATGGCAATCGATGTCCGTCGGTGATTGGCACTAGATTGCGGAACAGAGACCGACGTTAAATAAAGGAAAGCAGGAAAAGAAGAGTCGGTGTATAATGAGTCACGCCAAGAGAAAAACAGTTGAACTCGCATCACGGTTTTCGAAAGATTCCCTTTCTTTTCACTTTGCAACAGAGGACTTCTACATCAACTTCAAATGACTTCTAGCGAGAAAAAAATAGCGGCTGTAGTAAATCATCATATCAGTGATTTTGTCAAATTATCTTATCAAACAATAGTAGAAATTCTCATTACTGATCATTACCAAACGTATCCCATGACAATTTAATGCTCACTGCGTGATTATGATCATTTCTTCGATTATATTTTATATTTTATTGCAATACCTTTCGTTGACCTCTCATAGCATCGTAATGTTTGTTTACTTTGCACGATAGGTAGCCGGTTTGACAGTTCAATAGGTAGACTTGGCTTCACTCTTGGCGTGATTCATTATACACCGACTCTAGTAAAAGCACCGACAAACCGACATGAAACTTAAACTTTACTCTTGATCGAGAATCCATAACGGCGGATTCAAATGTGCAGCGATCCCATCTGTCAAAACCATAGAAATTTGTTATCTAGATAAAAATAATTTGCCCGGAAAAGATTAGACACGAACCAGCTCATACATTTTGTATGCGTGTTCATGGCTAGGATACACATTTTTCGCGAACACGGTGACAGATGTCAGTTTTGTGCTTTGATCAGAAATTTGATGATACCATGTATGGTCATTCATGTCGGTTTGTCGATGGTAAAAGCACAGACAAACAGACATAACTCATTGAATATTTCTCACTGTAAAACATCGTCGCTAAAACATTACCGCCATCTGTTGAGTACAGTGTGGTGGGTAGTACGCTGAACAGATGTCGGTAGTGCGTAAACGTCAAACGCAAAAGAATTGAGTATGCGCGCCACAGGTGGCGGTACTACCAACTACGATACTTTTAAATTGACCGTTAAATGCTTGTTCGATGAACAACTTGCGAGTGTTATGTCTGTTTGTCTGTGGTAAAAGTATCATTGAAAAAGCGTTGCCAGATGTATTGCCTCTAGCAATGGATTTAGGTTTATTAAAACAAGCAATTGTGAAGTTTGACTCATTAATATAGATGAGTAGATGTATTTAATGGTGAATAAATATCAGAAACTTCCAATGAATTTTACCCATACATTTAGAAAATGATGATCGAAGAATATTTCAAAAAGAAGAAGTAAACACCCTTTGTAGAACCTTAACATATTAAGTACACGGATAGAAATCTCCTTATACCTTTTGGCAAATTTCTATTGCTGATTATTCATAAAATGTATAAGTCATCTAATAAGCAGACGCCTTGCAAAAAGTTAATGAAGATCATGTCTCAAATTAAATGTATAAGCGGTCACAAATACCTTTTATGCATTCTTATAGGACCTATGTGGTTTGTCTTATGGAATGTATAAGGCTGATGTTTTGGCAAAAATGTATAAGTGATACACATGAATAAAATAATTGATTTTCGTTTCGTGTATTCATAGAAACCACAATATTATTATTATTTACATTTTGTAGTTTTGTCCATTTTTGAACTATGTGAATCAGTAGTGCGTTGTGTAACAAGTGTAACGCATCTTATTCCTGTTTGTGTGTTTTTGCTTCAGTGTAGCATTGACGTTTCGCTCCGCAAAACGCTCGAAACGTCAAAAGTTTTTCTCTGATCGAATGTTTGGATGCAATTTGGGAGCATTTCGTTCGAATTTTCATCATAGATTAGCACAAAAATGGACTCAAATCCATTGGAACCCCAGGACTTGAGGTTAGTTATTCGATCTTTTCAAAAATACTTTTATCTCTTCGAATTCACCACAGTAACACTGCTGCACAATCAAACTTGGACGACGGCGAAGAGTCATCTCCGTTGGAAGTTGGAATCCCTGTAATCCCATCTGGCGATGGACCACCGGATTTAGCGTTCCTCGGCAATGGCGCTGGGCCACCGGAGATGATCCAACGGGAGTGGAAGGAGATCACGAAGGAATTTTTCGGCTGCGTCAAGGAGCTCAAACTGGGCGAGCTGATCCATGACAACATGTTCGGGTTGTTCGATGCCATGTCAGCGATCGAGATGATGGACCCGAAGATGGATGCTGGAATGTGCTGCAACAAGGAGGCGACTCCGTTGAATTTCCAGACTGCTGTTGAGGTGAGTGTTGACTAGCCTGGGAGAAGAGGGTGGAAGCTGATTCGTTGAATTATGATCGTAGGAAGGTAAAATGAAGCTTGCTAATCTGGAGAGCCGGGAATTGATCGGGATTATCGATGCGACGTATTCCTGTATGGTGTCGTGGTTGGAGGGACACTCGATGGCACAAACGGTGCTAACCTGTCTGTACCTACATCAGCCGGATAAGATTGAGGATAAGGGAATGAAGGCTTTTGCTGTTGCAATCTACAAGCTGATCAACTTGATTCGGAACTTTATTCTGCGGGCGAGGGTCTACGAGGAAGAGGATTTCCAGCCCAGTAACTACGGGTACGATATGTATAGGGAAGTGACGGAGACGAAGGCGTGCAATATGCTGAAGAGTGCGGAGGAGGATTGGCTGAAGAAGGCCAAAGATGTCGACGGTGAAAAGGAGAAAGAGGAGATCAATGCTTTGGTTAGCCGGTTGAAATTCACCAGGCTGTTCCTGCAGTGTCTGGTGGCACTGTATCCTACCAAGGTATCTATTTGGAATGTACTGTTTTTTTTGTAGTTGTCTGTAATCGTATGTGTTGTAGCAAAATACTTCCTGGCATGTGGGCAATACGACTGCAAGTGCGGTAACTGTAAATGATGACGCAATCGGTGATTATATTTCTATTGATGCTAATTAGATTTGTAATTTTGCAGAATGTGTCTCCCACAAAAACGGAGATGATCGACATCGTGAAGACGTTGAATGGAGCACTCGAGCTGACGCAAGTGATGGAGAAGACAATTGAGTTCGGAACGCAACCCGCGTCGAGCAGTGAGTCATTGTTTTAAATGATTATTTTGAATTTGTTATCAAGAAACAATTTCATTTGCAGCCGACAATCCGAATCCAATGGGATTCTCGATGATGGTCAATCAGAGATTATTGCCTCCGACGTTTCCACGATACACAAAAATCAAGGAACGGTCGACCTGTATTCAGTATCTGGCTGAATTGATTCAGCGGTTGAAGCATGCATGTAAAATCGTTCACTGCACCAACTATCATAGTGCTTTGGTAAGTTGGGAGTAATCGTTTCTGTGTGGGTCCTCTCATGACCGCATTCCGTTGTTCCAGAATTTCTTTATGGACTTCAGCAAAAAGTTCGGCCCTTGTCTGCTGTCGAGAAGTATTTTGCAGACCCTGTATCTACCGTCACACGATACGGTATTCGGAACCAAAAAACTAACCGAAGTTTTGAAGGAATCAGCCAAGGCCTTCATTGCTCCTCCCGTGTTGCTTGCGGACAATCCCCTTGCCTCCAATCCTGCTGTGAGTAACCGTCCTTAGGTATTGTGCAAATCGATTTACAATCTTGCTCCACCTACAGGCAATCAACTGCGTTGATTCGTTCTTCGCGTACAACGAAAATACGTTTAGCGTGCTGTTCGAGATTTGCGGTTACAATCGGGCCCGGCAGCGAGACAAGCTCGGCATCATGTTGTCCAACTTTGCGAATCTTCAGGACGAAGCCGAGCGGGTGGACGCCTATCTACATTCGTTGTCGATGAAGCATGAAAATCCTCGTCAGCATCTGGCGTGCTTCGGAACGTGGGTCCTGTACCACTGCCTGCGGGCAATGTCCTTCTTCCTGCTGTCCGGTTTGGAGTTGGAATTGTATTCGGTACACGAATATTTGTACATATTCTGGTATCTGTATCAGTTCCTGTTCGGCTGGATAGTGTCAGCTTTGACGCGAGCGGATACATTCCTGGTGGAACAGGACTACGTTTTGGATCCGAAGGGAGCCAAAGGCAATCAAAAGAAGCCAAAGGTTAAGAAACGAAAAGGCAAAACGGACGGGAAGGAAATCATCTTCAATCAGGCGATGCAAAACATGTGCGGAGGGTACTACAAGGCCCTGGGGGGTTTCATCGGCGAGGATCGCATTCCGGAACCACTGCCAATGTTCGACAACGAGAAGGTTCGCTTCGAGCATCGTTTCGCACCGTTTGCCACGCTGTCCACCCCGCCGCCGATGGCCTATTCGGATTTCAAACTGATGAAAACCTACTTGCTCAAGTCGCCGGCGGAGGAACTGTACGCTGCCGCTGCCAAGCACTTCCATGAGGCTCGCGTCCTGCTCGAGTCCTATCCGAATCCGGATGAGGAGGTACGTTTCAACTCCACACTTTGGTGCATTTCCATGGAGGCGCATGGTTGTTTATGGTTTGTTTTTCTTTTCTTTCTTCAGTGGCACGAAATCGTCAAGGTGGCCAAGATGAACTTTGTCATGATGAACCTGCTGGCCAGTGGACTGAATCGGCAGTCCAAGACGCCACCGGAATTTGACTTTTCCTGTCATCGGTTTTTCCCCATCATCAAGCAGCGCAAGTGAGCAGACAGAGGGCTCTGTCTTCGTGTCCTGTGTTCGTTCAATCATGTAACCATCAATTTAATTGTGTAGGTACTATTGTGTCAGTGTGTGGAGTCAGTCTAGAAAACGTACGTATGCTGTCCGGTATTAAAGAGGGCATAGTAAAATATCAAATCAGTTAGGTGTCTAGCGTTTATCATTTTTTGTATATCCGAACATATGTACATCAAACTTAACTTTGACATGATCTCTGAGAAAGTTTATATTTTTATTATTAGGATATTGTATTTATTGAGTAGTAGAGTTTATTGAACTGTATGTTTATATAATATTACAGTTGCAGTTTCTTCATGTTTAGTTCTTGCTTAGTCTTAAATTGCAAGGTTTTTTTTTTATTGCAAACCGCTTTAGTTTAGGGAAAAATTATTTACCAAAAATAAATCCGTCGGAATCAAAATGTACTTAACAGAATGACCAGTGAACCTCGGAGATGAATCAGTCCCAGGCTGTAAGCTTCCGTAATAAAGAAAACTTAACCCAATGAACGAGGAAACTGGGGGAAAAAGCCGACACTTTGCAATCACCAGGAAAATCCGTGAATTTCGATGCCAAATCAAGTAACCATATACTTCGTCCTCTCTTCAAAAACAAAATTACGATTTTGGACCTTGGACAAATTTCAAGACCTTTATATACTGGACTAGATTTCCAGGATACAGTCACTTAACAGAATTTTTAAGATCATTTTAGATTTTTTTTCAAGGAGCTATGTAGAGGTTCTAGACAATCGATGTGTTACGTGCAAAAATGTCCCCACCTGGGACCGGAATTAAGTGTGATTGTGCGAGAATGTTTTGATCATGCTGTGTGGCGACAAGATAGATATCAACAACCGCAAAAAGAAAGCGTAGACCATCCTATTCTTCCAGAGGATAATCTGCAACCTGATTCTATCAACCAAGCCTTCAAATTGTTTCTCGATGCTGTGAACAAGCTTGCCTCTTGGTATCGGCACAGTAGTGCAGTGTCACAGCATCGACACCAGGGTTGTCAATTGATAACTCGGTAACGTCTTCAATGGGAATTTCGCATAAGACGTTATCGAGCTACCGATTAATAACTCTGATAGACACGCATTTTACAGGCTTGGTGGTAAAGCAGTTAAACAAAATGTTATGTACAGAAACCTGTCGTATATTTTAAGTAAAGAACCTAATGATCCTCTTCAAAGTACCATATGTAAGAAGGATGGATTGATATGAATCTAAGAGGACAGATATGCCATCAGTTTTTTGATTAAAAGTACAAGTCATTCAACGAGTCGGAACTGCCTGTAAATTTTCCTCTAGCGCCGCTTCTGATACTTTTTTGATATAATGATGACTCCTGATTAGAAGGTTTTCGTGTAACGATGTCGTAACACGATATATCTTAAACTACCTAATCCTGGAAACCCGGAACGCGCCGTAGAAAGCCCCATGGAAGCCCCCAATCCCTCCGTCTCAGTCCTGCCATCAGCAGCCTTCGTTCATCATAGTCGTTCCGGACCTGCTGTCGGATGCGGAGAGGGGGTCTTCCAACCCACTCACTTTGGCGAGTATCCAATGAGACTTGATGATGGTCAGTTATTGCCTGATGTATCTGTGATTTCCAGGGAGAGCAGTCGTTCGATTCCTTGCCGCAAGCAGGACGTCGTGATCTTCTACCAAAACGCCGGTGGAATGAATTCTGATGTTGAAGAGTACCGCCTAGCTGTTTAGGATCGTTGCTACGATATTATTGTCCTGTGCGAAACGTGGCTCGATTATCGAACGCTTTCCAGTCAAGTCTTCGGTCCTGACTATGAGGTCTTTCGTTGCGATCGGAATCCTAACAACAGCCGTAAATCTACTGGTGGAGGTGTCCTTGTAGCTGTCCGTAGCGGGTTGGAGGCAATGGCCATCGAGAACGATTCATGGAACAATGTGGAGCAGGTTTGGACAGCCATCAATCTGGGTGATCGCACCATTCCACCTGATCGAGTCCGCGACAATGAACTCATCGATACTCACTGTCGGTCAGTTTTCACAGTTGTCGAAAGTTCCACTTCAGTTGATGAGATATTCATTTTTGGTGACTTCAATCTGCCAGGCGTTTCGTGGAGTCCATCTCATAGCGGATTCCTGTATCCAGATCCTGATAGCTCTACATTTCACGTAGGAGCTATTAGCCTTCTCGACAACTACAGCGCAGCGACGCTTTCTCAAATTATCCATGTAGTTAATGAAAATGGTCGTAGTTTGAACCTCTGCTGCGTGAGCACACAGGACAGGGCTCCATCAATTTCCTCGGCTCCTTGTGCACTAACTAAGCTAGTTCCACATCACCCTCTTCTAATTGTCACTGTTGAGGACAAACTCGTGCGTGATTTCGGCCATCTTGCTGGAAATTTGCGCACATGTTTCCCGTCCACAAAAAAGGAAGGAAACGAGCTGTGGATAACTATCGAGGAATTACATCGTTAATCTCGTTTTCGTTTTTGCGGTATAGCTACACCGGTGCTACACCGCCGAACACCGAAAAATTTCAGGGTGTAGCTATCGGTTACACCTTTGTTTACAAACAGATGATGATGAGCTGTCAATGACTCGCGCTTATTGCTGCTTACACTACACCGGTGTAGTGTAGTAAAAACGAAAACGACATAAGTGCCGTTTCGAAGCTATTCGAGCTAGTGATTATGGAACCGTTGCTGTCCCATTGCAAGCAGTATTTGAGTGCTGATCAACATGGGTTTACTGTCGGCTGCTCTACAACTACCAATCTGCTGTGTCTCACATCGTATAAAACCGAAAGCATGTCGGATCGGGTTCAAACGGACGTTATTTATTCAGACCTATCCGCAGCATTCGACAAGTTGAACCATGCTATTGCGATTGCTAAACTCGGCAGGCTCGGAGTATGCGGTAATCTTCTGAGTTGGTTTCGATCATATCTTACCGGTCGGCTACTAAATGTTGCCATAGGAGATTGCAGATCAGCTAGCTTCTTCGCCACATCAGGTATACCTCAGGGAAGCCACATGGGACCGTTAATTTTTATACTGTACTTCAACGACGTGCATCTGGTCATCGAAGCTCCTCGGTTATCATATGCAGATGACCTCAAAATCTTCCAACGAATCTGCTCCATTGCTGACTGTCACTCTCTTCAACGTCAACTGAATGTATTCGCTAGTTGGTGCAGGTTAAACAGAATGGTAGTGAACCCAGCCAAATGCTCCGCTATTACGTTCTCACGAAAACAACAACCGATAATATTTAGCTATGACCTGCTTGGCTCGACAATTGAATGCGTGAATCAGGTGAAAGACTTTGGTGTGATCTTGGATTCGCAGCTTTCATTCAAGCAACCATTGCATAGGTTGTTGATAAGGCGTCAAGAACTTTAGGGTCCATTTTTAGGATAGCTAAAAACTTCACTGATATCTACTGTCTAAAATCTCTCTATTGTTCGCTTGTTCGATCGACGCTTGAGTATTGTTCAGCGGTTTGGAACCCAAACTACAACAACGGTGCCGAGAGAATTGAATCTGTTCAACGTCGCTTTCTTCGTTTTGCGTTGCGTAGATTGCCTTGGAACGATCCGTTTCGATTACCAAGTTACGAAAGCCGTTGTCAACTTATCGACCTAGAACTTCTCCGGACTAGAAGAGACACAAACAGAGCCCTAACCGTGGCCGATATCCTACAAGGACAGATTGTGAGGCTATCCTGAGGCAAATTGACCTGAATGTTCAACCCCGACCGCTTCGTAATAACCTTATGCTAAGACTGCCTCTACGTCGCACAAATTATGGAGCGTACGGTGCGATTTGCGGACTGCAGAGAACATTCAACAGAGTTGCATCTGTTTTCGACTTTCATCTCTCCCGTGATGCGCTTCGTCGAAAGTTTTCTTCTGTTTTTCGCCGGCAGGAGTTAAGATATTGACTATAAGATATACGTTTTTTAATGTTTTTTTTTATGTTATGACCATGCTTGAATGTATTTTTTTTTACCATAGTTGATAAGGTTAAAATCATTGGGGCTTCATCCAGCCTGTTTATGTAAAACAACAATAAACTACCAAATAGATCAATCTATTAATTGTCCCTTATAAACCATCGTTGGCTCAATTCCTAACTCTAATAAAGCAAACATTATCATTTCCTCATTATATTGTCTTAACATAGATAGCAACCACCCAAATTCTTGACCTACTGAGAAACTGCTCAGTCAACTTCAAAATCCAGAAACCTTTTCCTTTTCCTTATTTAGCAACCCAAAAACGCCCAGTGCTTCCAGGTCCTTCTCGAGCATCGTCCCCGGTACATTTAGTACGGTGGTAAAGTTTACCCGACCTCAGCGTCTTGTGGAGTCCCTAGTAAGCACGACTTCCGGCAATTATGCGTCTACGAATTTCTCTGCTGCAGTTGTTATCCGACGTCACCAATCATACACCACCTCGAACTCATCTCCGTCTATTGTCACGCTTCTGCCTATGCGAGCCCTATCGCGCTCGATTCCTCCAGCTAACAGATACTTTGTCTTCGACGTATTCACCTTTAATCCAACCTTCTCTACTTCACGTTTCAGCCTGGTGTATTGCTCCACCACCGCCCGAAACGTTCTTCCGACAATGTCCACGTCGTCAGCGAAGCAGAACAACTGGCTGGACTTATTGAAGATCGAGCCCCGCATGTTAAAGGCCGCACGTTTCATAACACCGTCTAGCGCAATGTTGAACAGGAGGCATTAAAGACCATCGCCTTGTCGAAGTCCTTTCAGCGAAGCGAGTTTCAAACGGGTCCGATAACGCAACCGATATCTTCACGCAGCACTGTACTCCATCCATCGTAGCCCTGATCAGTCTGGTTAGCTTCCCAGGAAAACCGTTCCTGTCCATAATCTTCCATACTAGACATAAGCGCATGTCAGTCCCATCTTTGTTGGATTTCCTATCCCTATGGGACTGATCCCTAAGGGACTGACACTTTTGGAGGATCCGCCGCAACGTAAAGATTTGGTCCGCTGTCGATCGCCCGTCCACAAAAACGGCTTGATAACTTCCCACAAATCTGCTTGCTAGCCGGGATAGAAGGCGAAAGATGATCTGGGAAAGCAGATCGTGACTATCAGTACAGACAAGTGGCCA